TTAGTAGAGATGGAGTTTCACCATATTGGACAGGCTGTTCTTGAACTCCTGGCCTCAGGTGATCCACCTGCCTTGGCCTCCCAAAGTACTGGGATTACAGGCAAGAGCACTGCACTCAACCTGCTTTTTCTGAACTCCCCACCATTGATGGCATATTGAAAGGACAGCTAGAGTCACAAACCACAGGTCAACACGGCCAGATGGTGGCATGGAGCTCCAGGACCTCACCACTGTTCCTTACCCCATGGACAACCTCATGAGCTGGCTTGCATCCTTGACTAGGCTCCAAAGGTGCGGAACAGAAAGCTTCATTTTGCCCTGACACAACTCTTGCCTTTCCAGGCTCCTTGATTTGCTCCCTTAAAATAGGGAAGGAGAGATGATGTATTCTAGCAGGCTACTTTTCTGCCATTCTTTGTCTAAAATGAAAAATGTATGTGTGCATGCTTGTATGATGTCAGGATTGTGGACAGCTTTAGTTTCAATTTCAATATTGAGATATAGAGTGTTGGACTAATACCTCAACATTTTGTGACTGTCATATATCACAAGCATATACTTAAACTATTGGCTTGAATCTCATCCTTTAGTGTAATGGTCTGTGTGTCTTCCAAACCTTTGAAATCAAACTCATGTTTAATACTAAACACGATGAAGCCTTCCTACAGCAAACTCATCTTAAAGGAACTGGGGTTATTTATGCACAGAAAGTGAAGACTTCAGCAGATTTGCTCCTTGTCAAATATGTATTGTATCTTTCTAAATAGATAACAGTACCACCAGTAACTCCTGTAATAAAGAGTAACTGTAATATGATCAGTGCATGCAGAAATGAAGCACTGGGATTCTTATTTCAAATTCCTATTTATTTCTCACTGATACAAGTGAGCAAAAATATACTTATTTCTTCCCAAAATTACTGGAATGTTTTCCTTTTTAATGCTTTTTTTTTTTTTTTTTTTTTTTGCAAGATAAAGATATTTTCTCTGACCTTCATATGCTGAAATGGGGAGAAAACTGATGATTCTCAATCAGCAGGGCCATGCCTCTGTAGCAGGGAGGGGGAGAAGAGGGCATCTCAGAAATTCTTAGAAGTGAAGTTTAATAATCATATCGACACTCTATTTTTATCCTAATAAGACAAAACAAAACCCTCCTAATGTGCTAATAACACAAATTACAGCAACCCAAACTTGATACAATCATGGCCAGGGAAGGTATGCAGAAAAAGGCTGTGGTAGGCATCTTCAGTGGCTTTCCTATTTCCTCACTAAAAGATCCTTGATATTGTTCAGTGGCAACATCCCAAGGCAGAATCACAATTGGTCTGAAACTATCATGACATCTTCCCAGCCTCCCTTGCAGGGAGAAGTGACTATATGACCCAGTTCTGATGGGAAATAAGGATAGAGAGGTACACAGAAGCCAGATCAGAGAAAGCCTTGGAGGCCACATTAAAATATTTGAACTTTATCCTTATTCTACCCTATATCCATTCTAAATACTGTTGATATCCCCCATCTTAAAAAGAGAAAACCAAGACTTTAAATGGCTTGATTGAAGTCATAGCTACTGAGCGGATGAACTGTAATTTGAACCTGGGTTTTGTTTTTATTTGTATTTTTTGTAGTGTGTGGGAGCCAAAGAATTGTCCAGTCATCACCAAGTGAGTGCAAGCTAGTTAGAAATAAAGAAATAATGAGAGCTTACTGAGTCTGTAGAGAATGGCTAATGTAACAATATATTTTAAGGATTGAGATAGTTGGCTGGGCGTGGTGGCTCACACCTCTAATTCCAGCACTTTGGGAGGCCAAGGCTGGTGTATCACTAGGCCAGGAGATAGAGACCATCCTGAAACCCCGTCTCTACCAAAAATGCAAAGATTAACTGGGCACGGTAGCGCGCGCCTGTAGTTCCAGTTACTTGGGAGGCTGAGGCGGGAGAATTGCTTGAACCCAGTAGGCAGAGGTTGCAGTGAGCCGAGATCATGCCACCAAACTCCAGCCTGGCCACAGAGTGAGACTGTCTCAAAGTCAGCTTCATCCCTGGGATGCAAGGCTGGTTCAACACACACAAATAAATAAACGTAATCCATCACATAAACAGAACCAACGACAAAAACCACATGATTATCTCAATAGATGCAGAAAAGGCCTTCAACAAAATTCAACAGCCCTTCATGCTAAAAACACTCAATAAACTAGGTATTGATGGAACGTATCTCAACATAATAAGGGCTATTTATGACAGACCCACAGCCAATATCATACTGAATAGGCAAAAACTGGAAGCATTCCCTTTGAAAACCTGCACAAGACAAGGATGCCCTCTCTCACCACTCCTATTCAACATAGTGTTGGAACTTCTGGCCAGGGCAATCAGGCAAGAGAAAGAAATAAAGGGTATTCAATTAGGAAATGAGGAAGTCAAATTGTCCCTGTTAGTAGATGACATGATTGTATGTTTAGAAAACCCCATTGTCTCAGCCCAAAATCTCCTTAAGCTGATAAGCAACTTCAGCAAAGTCTCAGGATACAAAATCAATGTGCAAAAGTCACTAGCATTCCTATACACCAATAACAGACAGAGAACCAAGTCATATGTGAATTCCCATTCACAATTGCTACAAAGAGAAAAAAATACCTAGGAATGCAACTTACAGGGATGTGAAGGACCTCTTCAAGGAGAACTACAAACCACTGCTCAATGAAATAAAAGAAGACACAAATGGAAGAACATTCCATGCTCATTGATAGGAAGAATCATTATGGTAAAAATGGCCGTACTGCCCAAGATAATTTATAGATTCATTGCTATCCCCATCAAGCTACCAATGACTTTCTTCACAAAATTGGAAAAAACTACTTTAAAGTTCATGTGGAACCAAAACAGAGCCTGCATTGCCAAGACAATCCTAAGCAAAAAGAAAAAAGCTGGAGGCATCATGCTACCTGACTTCAAACTATTCTGCAGTTACAGTAACCAAAACAGCATGGTACTGGTACCAAAACAGAGATATAGACCAATGGAACAGAACAGAAGCCTCAGAAATAACACTACACATCTACAACCATCTGATCTTTGACAAACCTGACAAAAACAAGAAATGGGGAAAGGATTCCCTATTTAATAAATGGTGCTGGGAAAATTGGCTAGCCATGTGTAGAATGCTGAAACTGGATCCCTTCCTTACACCTTACACAAAAATTAATTCAAGATGGTTTAAAGACTTAAATGTTAGACCTGAAACCATAAAAACCACAGAAGAAAACCTAGGCAATACCATTCAGGACATAGGCATGGGCAAGGACTTCATGACTAAAACACCAAAAGCAATGGCAACAAAAGCCAAAATAGATAAATGGGATCTAACTAAACTAAAGAGCTTCTGCACGGCAAAAGAAACTACCATCAGAGTGAACAGGCAACCTACAGAATGGGAGAAAATTTTGCAATCTACCCATCTGACAAAGGGCTAATATCCAGATCTACAAAGAACTCAAACAAATTTACAAGAAAAAAACAACCCCGTCAAAAAGTGGGCAATGGATATGAACAGATACTTCTCAAAAGAAGACATCTATGCAGCCAAGACACGTGAAAAAATGCTCATCATCACTGGTCATCAGATAAATGCAAATCAAAACCACAATGAGATACCATCTCACACCAGTTAGAATGGCGATTGTTAAAAAGTCAGGAAACAGCAGATGCTGGAGAGGATGTGGAGAAATAGGAATGCTTTTACACTGTTGGTGGGAGGGTAAACTAGTTCAACCATTGTGAAAGACAGTGTGGCAATTCCTCAAGGATCTAGAACTAGAAATACCATTTGACCCAGTGATCCCATTACTGGGTATATACCCAAAGGATTATAAATCATGCTACTATAAAGACACATGCACACTTATGTTTATTGTGGCACTATTCACAATAGGAAGGACTTGGAACCAACCCAGATGTACATCAATGATACACTTGCTTAAGAAAATATGGCACATATACACAATGGAATACTATGCAGCCATAAAAAAGGATGAGTTCATGTCCTTTACAGGGACTTGGATGAAGCCGGAAACCATCATTCTCAGCAAACTATCACAAAGATAGAAAACCAAACAGCACATGTTCTCATTCAGAGGTGGGAATTGAACCGTGAGATCACTTGGACACAGGGCTGGGAACATCACACACTGGGCTCTGTCGGGGGTTGGGGGCTGGGGGAAGGGTAGCATTAGGAGAAATACCTAATGTAAATGACGCGTTGATGGGTGCAGCAAACCAACATGGCACATGTATACCTATGTATCAAACCTGCACATGGTGTACATGTACCCTAGAACTTAAAGTATAAAAAAAAGAAAATTGAGATGGTTGTCTGTAATCTTTTTGTTATGAATAAGCAAAAGATTGTCCAGTACATAATTTAAATTCCAGCATTGAAAGCAACCTCAAGAGATCACACAGTTCAGACCTCCTTCCTGTGCTTTCCAAAGATAGGTCCCCTGGATTCCACATGATTGAAGTAACTGCTTATTTCTGTGATTTTAGACCACTGGTTTGACAAAAACAAAATGAACCAGGAGTGGGGGGAAAAAACCCAGAAACCCTATTTGTAATAAAGTCTCAACAATGAGATACAATGGTATTAGATACATGCAAACACACACACACACACACACACATACACACACACACACCCCTACCAAAATACATAAATAATCCTAGATCTTGTAGCAAATTGTTGATTTATTCATTGTGACTGCAGCTCCTAGTAATGCTATTATTTGCAGGTGGTGAGTGTGGTATGGGATGGTATGGAGCAACATTTTCCAAATTGTGGTTGTGATCAATATATTTTTTGAAATTAAAGATGGAAAAACATCACAGTGCAGAATATATAAGGTCAATGTCCTATGATACTTGATGTATGTATGTATCACACACACATATACACACCTACAGACACACAAATACACATACAATGAATTCTACATATATTGGATTGTGATGTAATCTTTATTTCTTACTCTGAGCTCCAGTTAGAAAAGTTTGACAATCATCATTTTAGAGCTATGTTCAAAAAGTGGAGACTCTCTGACTCACTGTGAGCTCTGCTATATCTATGTGCTTCCTGGAGAGGGAGCAACTTGCTAAGCTAGAGTCCTGTCCATTGGCATGGATATTTACTGTTCCACATGTTGGGAAAACCATGTGCAATAAAAATCAAACATATGAAACAATGGCTGTCATTGTACCACAGTACACCTTGTATCTTGGTTAAGGTTCTTAAATTACTCCTTTGAGTTTCCTAATTCACTTCAGGAAGGATTTGCTGCATTCCGTCTTTATGCTGTCACTTGCAAACCTTGGGAATAAACATAAAAAGAAATTAATGGAGAATTCCAATTCTCATTTTATTAAATCTTTACATCAACAACAGTAAATCTAAGGATGTTTAAATTACGGGGATTCTGGAGCCAAAAATGCTGGTTTCCTGTAAAGAACTAAATTGAGTCCAAGTCCCATTCTTTTAATCCCTGCATTAAATTTGAAGCATGCCTGAAAATATCAGATAGATATCCAAAATCACTTGTAATTGGTATAGTAATCCTTGACTTCAGGGAATGAAATAGTTTGAAGACTAGAATAAACCCACAAAGGGTAGCTGTCTGCAGTATAATCCTTGTTTTGGAGTGTTACCCTTGATGTGGGGAAAGTATTATTACCTTTAATCCCTTTTCTTAAACGAAGGAAGCCCATGGAATACTTGATTTGGCATAGAAATTCAATGATAAACCTACCACATTCTTATTACACAGCTCATATTGGAGAGCACACATTTTTTAGTGTAGTATTTCATTTTTGAAATATGTGAAATGTAAAAATGATTACATCCTTTGACTACACAAGTGACACTTCTGGGAATTTACTCCAGGGATATAATTCAAAAAGAAGAAAACCAACATAGAATACATGTAGATATTTTGTTATAGCATGTGATTTACCCATGTGAAACACCTGTAACAACAGTAAATAGACAACAATTGGGAAATGGTTAAGTGATCTTATGTTAATTTGGACTACTGTCCTAGATAATTATACTATAATTTTATAATGAGATCATGCTTTAAATTTAATGAGAACAATGCAAACATCTGATAATTAAATTTTATTTTGCAACTTCTTATTCCTTTGATTTGAAACTAGACATGTGACATCTTTCTTCTCTACTAAAAGGTCAATGTCAAGTCTTATATTTCTCTTCCGTGTACAAAACAGAACTCAGCCTTGATTTTTGTTTTTAACTGGAAGAGCTACTTAGTTTCATTATATAATGAACTCTATAAAGCTGCATAAAAATTAAATACTAATTTAAAAACAGAGATAAGCATGGCTGATTAACTACACTGCCCTTGCAGTCTTGTAAAGGAGAGATTGATGTGAACAGTAAAAAGACTGGATGTGTACTCATTAAAATGTTAACACTAATGACTGGAGAGAACACAGGTAATTACTTGCTCCCTTTTGCTTTATAATAAACATTTAACAAGGCAGGGTGTGGTGGCTCATGCCTGTAATCCCAGCACTATGGGAGGCCAAGGCAGGCAGATTACCTGAGGTCAGGAGTTCAAGACCAGCCTAGCCAACATATGAAACCACGTCTTGACAAAAATACAAAAATTAGCAGGGCGTGGTGGTGCATACGTGTAATCCCAGCTACTCGGGAAGCTGAGGTAGGAGATTCGCCTGAACCCAGAAGGTGGAGACTGCAGTGAGCTAAGATCACGCCACTGCACTCGAGCCTGGGCGACAGAACAAGATTCAATATCAGCCGGGTGCAGTGGCTCACGCCTGTAATCCCAGCACTTTGGGAGGCTGAGGCGGGCAGATCATGAGGTCAGGAGATCAAGACCATCCTGGCTAACATGGTGAAACCCCGTCTCTACTAAAAAAAAATAAAAAATTAGCCAGGCGTGGTGGAGGGCCCCTGTGGTCCCAGCTACTCGGGAGGCTGAGGCAGGAGAATGAGATGAACCCGGGAGGCGGAGGTTGCAGTGAGCCGAGATAGCGCCACTGCACTCCAGCCTGGGTGACAGAGCGAGACTCTGTCTCAAAAAAAAAAAAAAAAAAAAAAAAAGATGGAAAAAAGACTCCATATCAAAAAAATAAAAATAAATAAATAAATAAATAAATAACCTTTAAAAATAATATGCTTTTATAAAGAGGTGAAAATAAATGTTTTTAAAGGGAGTTTGAATGTTCCTGGTGGCTAGACTACTTTGTTTTAGTAAGAATAAGGAAATGATTAAATTTTGCCTCACACTTTGGATTTAAATAAGGATTAAATTAAATGTATAACTCCATTCCCTTACTCTGCTGAATAATTTATTGTTTCATTAACAATTAAACTCAGTCTTTCTTGTTTCCCCTTCATTATTATTACTTTATCATAATTATGATTTTATGTACTTAAGACTGAAAAATTAGCTAAACAAGTTTATGAGATGTGAGAAAAAAAAAAAAAAACCCTGAAGATCAGTCACTGGAAACAGGAAAGGTCTCCCTAGCTGGCTCAGTGTGTGTCATACTCAGGGTTAAACCAGGCTACACTGAGGGTACCTTCAGGACAGCTTTGCCAGGTTACTGTGGATGGAAGCACCAGGAAAGGTAATAGGTTACTAGAAATAAAACGGTAACTTATTTATGTAACTGAGAAAAAACAGCACAAATGTTAGAGGTAAGAAAAGCTGATGGATTTCTGTTTTTATCCCTCTTGTAAGTTTTTTTTTTTTTTTTTAACTTTATCTAATATCTAGAAGCCTCAAATGGCATAGCTAAATACTTTCCTGCCTGCCTCTAGGATGTAGGGAAGGAAAGAGGAGGGGCATCACAACATTGCGAAATGCACTTTCTTGTGGGCTAGCAGCACCTGTCAAAACATGCCAGCTGTATTTGGGCCTTGGAACAGATGGTGAAGGCTCAATTTGGAATGGAACTGGTTGCAATTTACCTGAGCTACATGACCAAGGCTACTTTCATCTTTATCAGTAGGTAGATCATAAGGCCAAACTCCAGTGTATGACTTAGTCATAAAGGAAAGTTGGACCCAAGCACTGGCCATCGCTGAGAAGACAAAGAGCTACAGGTGTCCAACAGCTGAAACACTTCTGGAAGTGCCTCATTAGGGACAGAAAGGGGGGCCAGTAACTCTCAGAGAAGTGGCTCTGGCTCATGTGCTATCATTTATGAAGGCTGAGCCCTTCCCTTCACCCCACACCCTCTATATCCACTCACGTTGGTGCTCTGAGATTCATTATAGGAGGCCTGAATTTCATCAAAGTAACAGACGGCAGGAGTGGGCGGGCATATCTGGCAAAGATTCTAAATTCTACTTGCAAGAAGAAAATTTAAAATGGTCCTGAAATTCCTTCAAATGGGTTCATGCCTATATGATGGGCTGATCCTGAAATCAACAATATTTAGGATCAATGAGCTGCCTAGTTGGGTTCAGTCTCTTACTGAGGAAGGACAACATTTGGATTAGGGCAGTTGCCTCTCACCAAAAAAACATATAATGTTCTTCACTGCTGGAGTGAGTCATACTGTCTTCTCTGAGCCAGTTGATGATTGCATTTTGCCGGTGTTAGCCATGGAAATTCTTTTAATTCAAATAGTTCAAATATAACAATAGCTAGATCTACAGTTCTGTCCTTCCAGCATGTTTTTTCGACCTTCTTCTTCTGGTTTCTACCTCCTGCCCTGCTTTCTCTTTGGGAAATTTTTAAGTTTTTAATTTTCAGAGATAGGGCTGTCTGTCTCCCAGGCTGGAGTGCAATGGCACAATCATGGCTTACTGCAGCCTTGACCTCCTGGGCTCAAGCAATCCTCCCACCTCAATTTCCTGAGTAGCTGAGATTATAGGCATGTGCTACTATGCCCCACTAGTTTTTTTTGTTGTTGTTGTTTTGTTTTTTTTGAGACAGAGTCTCACTCTGTCACCAGGCTGGAGTGCAGTGGCGCAGTCTCAGCTTACTGCAACCTCTGCCCCCTGAGTTCAAGAGATTCCCCTGCCTCAGTCTCCTGAGTAGCTGGGACTACAGGTGCACACTACCACATCCGGCTAATTTTTTGTATTTTAGTAGAGATGGGGTTTCACCATGTTGGCCACGATGGTCTTGATCTCCGGACTTCATGATCCACCTGCCTCGGCCTCCCAAAGTGCTGGGATTACAGGTGTGAGCCACCATGCCTGGCAGCTAATTTTTAAAAAATTTTAATTTTTGTAGAAACAGAGTCTCTCTCACTATGTTGCTCAGGCTGGTCTTGGTCTCAAGACCAAGCCTTGCTGGCCTCAAGCAATCCTCCCAATTTAGCCTCCCAAAGTGCTGGGATTACAAACATAAGCCACTGCACCTGGCCAGAGAAATTTTTAAAATCAGAAGGTCTTAGGTGGGGTGTTCAATTACAAGATGGGTTACGTGATCCAGACCTCGCCAGAGTATGCCATCTCTCTGGCCGTAACGATCGCTTTGGCAAGTCATGTGGTCCAGCAGGACCAATCATCTGGGCTACAACAGAACACTGCTTTTTAGAAAATGATTTAAGATAAAGAACTTCAAATTTATGCAGAAGAAGTGAGAATAAATATGAACCTCCTTGTACTCAATACCCAGCTCCAACATTTATCAACTCGTGGTCAAATCTTGAAAAAGGTATCTTTTCACACTGGGACTGATGGACCTAGAAGGATGTTGTTATCAACAGACATCAGGTCAGTGGAGAGCCTGACTTCAAAATAAACCCTAAGTAGAAAGTAGAATAGAAGCAGAGTCCTGAGGACCTTATTTGAGTTCCTTAACCCATTAATGTTGGAGGTTGCAAATTTTTTTGTGTGAAAAACCAGACCTTGGTGATGACCTTGAGCGTTAGGATATAAATAACTCCTACTAGCTTAGAGTTCCAACAGTGGATTAAACGGGTTAATCCAGCTGGGTCTGAAGCCACCATTACCCCTGTACTGTCTTTCTGCTGAAGCCATATTTAGGCAAATCTCTGGCACTTGCAGAAAGTGCTGTCCAATATGAAAACCTTAAATAAACACTTCATAATACCTTTTAAAATCTTTTGTTTATCTTTGAGGTATTTGGAAAGTAGAAATTTTATGGAAATCTTTAAGGGAATAAAAGAAACGGGGAGCTCTGGACATACTAAAACAAAATCATCAGCATTTTAATTATACTCTGCCCAAAGGATACTTCCAGTCCCATTTGGTACAACCATCTACTAAACATTTTAAAGTAAATCACATAAATAGCATTAAGAGATGTAACAAAGGGTACATGGTTTCACCCCTAAAAACAGACAGACAAACTAATTGAGTCTCGAAACCTTTCCCCCAGAATTTCTGATTCTGAATTATCCTCAAAGCAAAGAATGGATGAGCACAATCACTCCTACATTAGCATTCTGGTATTCCATCCTTTCATATGTAATGAACTATTTTCCTGGCTGTTTCTCCTCCACCTTCCACTTAGTTAGCACAATACTTACACTTTTGCTTTGCTAGTTCTTGTATTAGATCTTCATATACTTGCAAAAAGAGGTCCTCTTCAGATTTTGTTCCATCTAGGTACACTACGAAGGGGAAAAGAGAGCGGTTCAAATGCTAACAGGCTTATTAATATACAATGTTTACTTTGGCACCCAACGTCTCTTTTAATGCCAATAGGTTTAACCAAGGCACCCAGGACCATAACTTAAAAGAAAATTAATAGTGATTGAAGAAAGAAATAGATACTAGCCAGGTATAATAGGTCAAAAATGCTGGATTGTTACAGATAAATCCACACTGGCTTATGTGAAAATTATTTAATTAAAAGAGAAGAGAAAGAAAGAAGAAAAGAGGAATGAAACAGAAGAAAGTAAGTGGTGTTCTGCATATGGCACTTTTGATGCACTGAAGGTGTTCACCCAAAAGGGTCACTTAAGGAGTAATTCTTCAACATACTTAGACATGAGGATCACCTGGGAAGCTTCTTAAACCATGCAGCGGTCTGGGATCTGCAACATATGTACTAACTCAGAATTCACCAGGCTCAGAAAATATGTATGTATGTATGTGCGTGTGTGTGTGTGTGTGTGTGTGTGTGTGTTTTCAGCTATCAGAGAAAAGATGTATTTTTAATAAAACTGGCATAAGCAGCTTTGGAGAAAAAGTAGATGTTGTCTAGGTTAAAGGAAGGAAAGGGCCTTCTGGTCAGAAAATAGCAGGGAGAGGCAAGAGCAATAATGCACCATTTGGAATGGCTAGAATAGGGGGAAGCTCTGAGAACAACATGAGATGAGATTCTAGAGCAAGACTGTACCTCAGTACCTCAGTCATTAGAGGCCTTGATGTCTGGCTGTTTGGATTGTATCTCAAAGATCTGGAGACGTCTCAAGGTATTCAAGCAGGGCAAGAGCCTGATTAGATTTGCATTTTAGGTAAAAGGGAGAGAAGGGAAGCAAGAGGATGTTCTTGCAACCAATGGTCCAAGGTGGACATGGTGCAGCCAGAATCTCAGCATCGGCCCTGGGGATACACTCTGTATGCATTCCACACGGCTCTGACATAGCTACCTATCCTGGAGGCCAACAGGCTTCTCACAACACGGACAAGTCCCCTTTATTGTGAAAAGCATACATCAGTTCTAACTCCTTTGTCTTATAGAACAGCCTTCTGCCATCTTCTCTGCATCGAGTGCCCTATTCCAGTGATCTGTTCTTAGCTCAAGCCCACAGATCCGGATGCTTACCTCCAAATTGCTACATATGTCTCCCAGGCACCTCAACCTTATTATATGCAAAACAGACATGCATTCCTCCCTTACAGGTCTGCAATGCCTTCACTTTTTTCTAACATCCGTCAGTTGCTGAGGCATCTGTCATCTTCCCGCCCCCTCCATAGCTGTTCTATCACCCATTTCTACTGAGTGCAGGCGTCTAACATCACACCCTATAAATCTATCCTCCTCCATTCTCCACACAGCCAGAGGGGTCTTAACTAAAAAGAATTTGTATCAATCATGTCCTTGTTTAAAACTTCTCTCTAGAGAGCTTCCCACTTCTCCGAGAATAATGATCAAAGTCCTTACCTAGACTATTGGCCTTATAGGGTCTGGACCCTGCCTGTATCACCAGCATCAATCTGCTTCCTTGGTTTTCTTTACCAGAAAGTTTTCTCCACACCAGCTTTCTTTCAGGGGCTTCTCATTCCTTCCTGTCCCCTGGTCCTTTCGTGTGCCATACCCACTTTCTGGGGTGATCTTCTATTCCCCAGTCCATCTCCTTTGTTCAGTTAAACTCATCGAAGTCTGGTTAAATGTGACTTCCTCAAGGAAGCCTTCCATGACTACTGGGATCTCGGCAGTCCTCTAGAGCTTGGTGTCACAGAACTTACGGCAGCTGGAAAGGACAGGCTGGTGTCTCTAGCACCTGTTTCCACGATAGAATGTCACCTGCATGACAGCAGGGGCTGGGTCTGCCTTATTCCCTTCACCATCTCCAGGGTAGCACCAGAAGGCATTCATTCGATACTGGTTGAATGAATAACCATCCAGAGGCTGATGAGAGAGCCACAGAGAGAAACAGAAACCAGGAGAACCAGCTATGGAAGAGGAGAAGCCCAGAGTGTTCTTGCTTAAGTGTCCCTTTATACTTTTCTATGAGTCCTTTCTTTTCTATACTTTGAGGCAAATGACAAGTAAAAGGGGGACTTTTTGAACAGAGGGAGAAAAGGCACTTACCAACTTCCCATGTGATGTCTTGCATTTCTTGTCTGTGCTTTAGATACATGGGCCACACATGGCCATCAAAGTATCCCGGAGAGTCTGGAGGCTCATAGACCCTTGTACTATCAAAACACGTAGGAAACTTTATGTTGATAGAAACACACAATTGATAAAGTAAAATATGAATGGTCAGGATAATGGAGAAATCACTCAGAGGCTGAATCTAAACAGTGTGCTACATGTTTTAACTCAGTGGCAGTTAGAAAGACAGTAGTAATGTGGATTTAGTTCTCTGATCCTAAAATTAATTTTGTAATCCACTGACTATCATTCTTAATTATCCTTTTTCCTTCTAGTGCTTTATAAGAGAATTAAGAGACAAATAGTGTAAATAATGATGGAGAGACCACTATGTTGGATTAAGCTTTGAACTAATTGGTGTTCTCTGTAGCTGTGGCAGAACAGGCTCACTCACATTAAAATCATAATCATCATGGGCTTGTTTTGTTTGAGGATTTAGGAGAAATGAGCCAAAAGCTTGATATAAGGCCCTTTTCTTAGAAAGTAATTTGCATTACTCTGTGTGGATGACCATTTATGGAAAAAGGTTTTGCTCCTTTTATAAAGAAGAGTTAAGCCTTCCTGTGTCTGAAAAATGACATTGCTCAATAATGTTGCTGTCCTCATTTTTCTTCTAAATTTTTTGTTTTGAATTACAACTCACAAAGATGATTTCACAACTTACCTCCTCCTCCTTTTACATTCTTCATATGGAATAGTCAGGAAATAGCTTCTATTCCATATAGTGTCAAGGGGCCTAAAATAACAGCATACTTAGTTCACAAGGGTTTTTCTTCCCCCCATTCACTCAGAGCCAATATTAGAGTGGAGATGCTTACTTATAATTAAAAAGAAGAAAACCTTCGATGATTAAAATGGGAATTTCCTCAGCACTTTCCCGGTCTGTTGATACCACAGAGCGTCTTGCACTTTCCATCCAGCAGGAAATGGTTGACATCATTTTTTCCATGTTAAGAGCTTCAAGCACTTCAAACAAACACACAAAAATATGCAATCAATATAGCAAAACATTTTGTGATGTGACTTTTTGTGATGCATATATCCAGGATTCTGTAAACATATAGACCAGCATTTTATTTCCCTTCAAAACTCCTAATAACAAATATTTTAGATGACACTTTGAAACTCTAATACTGATAAACCAGAGTGAAACGTTTTTATTATGGAAAATTTCAAGCATACAAAAAAGTAAAGTACAGTGAACTCCTGCGTCCCTAATACCAGCTCTGACAATCAGAAACCCATGGCTAACCTTGCTTTACTTATAACTTTGATTCTCTCCTGACTACACAAAAATGTAAAATTTTTAGAAGATGAAATATCTACAGATAAGTTCGAAAGATACATGACTCATGGGGGGAAATATCTGTAATGTCCTTGGCAAAGAGTTAAGATATTTAATCAGCAAAGAGCTCTTCTAGATAAATAACTAAAAGTCAGACTATTTGTAAAGAACACAAATGTGTCACTGTCACACTCTAAAATGTACATACTTCTCGAGCTAATCGTGATTTTAGAGAAGTAGCCTATAGCTTTTAAAATATGGTACTTAAACCAGTAGTATTAGCATCACCTGGGAACTTGTCAGAAAGGCAAATTCTCAGCTCCACTCCAGAACTACTTAATTGAGCCAACAGCACTTAAGAGTGTTTTTTAGCGGAAGGTTTTTCAATGATGGATTAATTTATTTAACAGACATAGGACTATTAAGGATTTTTTTTTCTTTGTTCTGGTGTTAGTTTTGGTAAGTGATGTCTTTCTAGGAAATTGTCAATTTCACCTAACTTTTCAAACTTATTTGTATAATGAGTGTTCATAATATCCTTTTATCTCTTTAATGTCTGTAGGGTTTACAGTGATATTACCTTTTTTGCTTTTGGAATTTGTAATCTGTTTTATCAGACTTAGTTAATCTGGGGATTGCTCAGATTCTTGAAGTTTTATGTCTTAAACCAAATTTGAGAATTTTTTTTTTTTTTTTTTGAGACGGAGTCTCGCTCTGTAGCCCAGGTTGGAGTGCAGTGGCCGGATCTCGCACCAGCTACCTCGCCCGGCTAGTTTTTTGTATTTTTTAGTAGAGATGGGGTTTCACTGTGTTAGGCAGGATGGTCTCGATCTCCTGACCTCGTGATCCACCCGTCTCGGCCTCCCAAAGTGCTGGGATTACAGGCTTGAGCCACCGCGCCCGGCCAGTTTTTTTTGTTTTTTAAACCATTACCTCTTCGAATACTTTTTTAGTCCCACACTTTCTCCTGAGACTTCAAAGATATGAATATTAGATCTTTCATTATTGTTCCACATTTTTATTCATTTATTTTCAGTCTATTCTCTCTCTGTTGAGAATAATTTGTATTGTTCTGTCTTTAAGTTCACTAATTATTTTCTCTGTCGTACTTACTCTGCTACTGAGCCAATCCAGTGAGTTTTCAAATTTTGATTAATGTATTTTTTCCATTCTAAAATTTCCATCTGGTTCTTTTTTCAAATCTTCTATTTCTTTACTGAGGCATTCTAGGTTTTCACTTGTTTCAAGCCTGTTTGCAATACTATGTTTAAAGCCTTTTAATAACGCTGCTTTAAATTCTTTGTCAGATAATTTCAACATCTGTGTCATCACGGTATTGGTGTCTATTGATTCATTTTTCTTGGTCAAGTTGCAACTTTTTTGGTTCTTGGTATAACAAGTGATTCTCAGTTGTGTCCAGGACATTTTAGATCCTGTGTTATAAGGCTGTAGATCCTATTTAATCCTCTTTTGCAGGCAGTCACCCTGTTCCTGTATAGCTTGCAGGTTCAGGTGGGGGCGGATGCTCTGCTTCCTGCTAGGCCCTGCTGATGCTGTGTTGCGGGGGAAGTTGGTCCATTGTGGGAAGAGGGGGTCAAGGAGAGTGCCGGTGAAGTTTCATTGCTGCTAGCTGTGGGCAGAAGTTCATCTTTCCACTGGGTTCCGCTGACAGGAGCTGACACCACCTGAGTAAGGAAGGTGAAGTGCCAACCTGCTCCATTGCACACTGCCTCCTTCCACCTGAGTACTGCCAGGTGGAGGCGAAAGTGCAGCTCCCCATTTGGTTCCACTGATCCAACCCCCGTGGGTGACGTGGAGGTGATGATCCAGCATCACCCTGCCTTGCTAATGCTGGATGGATCTTCTGGAAGTCCAGCTCCGCACCCAGCTAACACCATGAAGGGAGGACGGTTTTGCCTTTTGTGTCTGGCTAGAGTAGGGTGGATATTATCAAAAAGGTTTTCTGTTCTGGTAGGCCACCCTTTTCCTTGTTCCTTTTTTAGCCTGTGCCCATGGATGGTTCCATGTTGTATACTTCTCCTGTATAGGTAGGCAGCAAAAAGAAAACCCAGGGATCCCATAGCCATGTCATTCCTCACCTCCTGGGATCTCTAGCCAGCATGCTTTCTTTTTTCCCTTCAGTCTTCCTTCGTCTGTTTGTTGCATTATGTCCAGGGTTTTTCATTGTAGGAGGGAGGACCAGTGAGCAATGGGACTAATCTGTCTTGGCTGGAACCAGCAGTCTTTCTAGTTTTGATATATTTTTGTGATCATTCATTAAAAATATTTTCTAATTTTCATTGTGATTTAGCTTTTGACCCAAGGAATAGATATGTGTTTTGCTTCAGATAAAATACAATGATGTTTGGGATTTGCTTGAAAACAATATAGATGAATAGAGTGGGTGAGGGTATAGATGAAATATAATTGGTCAAAATTTCATATTATTAAAACTGGATGGTGAACTCATGAGAGAGTTCATTATACTTTTCTGCTGACCTCTGCATATGTTTGAAATTTTCCATTAGAAAAAGTTTTTGAAAATCAGAAAAAAGGGTAATGCTTACTTTTCAAACACTTGGTTATTGCTTTTTAATTTCCTTCTTGGTGATTACAGAGTATCTTTATATTTCTTCAATCCATAAAGTGTATTAGGACTTACTCCATGCCCTTGCATATATGGACTATTTGGGGTAATATATTCCATGTACTCAAGAAAAAAAAATATGTATTCTGCTGTTATTAGGTGCATGTTCTGTACATGTCAGTTTTTGGTCAAGTTAGTTAATTGTGTTGTTCAAATCTGTTATATCATTAGTAATTTTTGTCTGCTAGTCCCATTAGTGGCTGTTACGAGCTGAATGTGTCCCCCTATGTTAAAGTCCTCCTGCCCAGTTCTCCAGAATGTGACTTTATTTGGAAATATGGTCATTACAGATACAATCAGTTAAGGTGAGGTCACACTGGAGTAGGGTGGGCACCTGATCCAATATGACTGATTACAGAAGGAGAAAATTCAGACACACACATGGGGACAGTACCATGTGGAGATGAAGTCAGGGACTGGGGTGATGCAGCCGAAGCCAAGGCTGCCAGAGATTTCAGCAAACACCAGAAGCCAGGAGAGGGGCACCGAAAAGAGTCTCCCTCACAGCCTCAGAGGGAGCCCACCCTGCTGACACCTGGATCTCAGACTTCTGGCTTCTCGAATTGTGAGACAATAATTTTCTGTTGTTTCAGGCATTCTGTGGTACTTTGCTATGTCGTCCTAGCAAACTAATACACAAAGGAAGTTGTGTTAAAATCCCCCTCATTAGCTGCGCGTGGTGGCTCACACCTGTAATCCCAGCACTTTGGGAGGCTGAGGTGGGCAGATCACCTGAGGTCAGGAGTTCAAGACCAGCCTAGCCAACCTGGGGAAACCCCATCTCTATTAAAAAAAAAAAAAAAAAAAAAAAAAATTAGCCAGGCATGGTGGTTCATGGCTGTAGTCCCAGCTACTTGGGAGGCTGGGGCATGAGAATTGTTTGAACCTGGGCAGCAGAGGTTGCAGTGAGCCAAGATCATACCACTGCACTCCAGCCTGGGTGTCAGAGTGAGACTCCATCTCAATAAAAAACCAACCAACCAACAAACAAAAAACTCCCACGCTAATTGTGGATTTGTGTCTTTCTCTCCTCTTAGCTCTGTCAGTGTTTAATGCATTTTAATGTTATGTTATTAGGTAGATAAAAATTTTAGGTTGTTTTATTTTCCTGTTGAAGTAACTCATTTCTCTCTATCTCAGTAAAACTCAGCCTTAAAGTTTACTTTGTCTGGTATTAGTATAGTTGCTAGAGTTATAACAGTTCTTTCGGTAGGTGTTTCCATCATGGATCTTTTTCTAGCCTTTTACTGCCTATATTTCTATGTCCTTATACTTAAGTCCATTTCTTTTGGTTTTTTTTTCTTTTTTGAGACAGAGTCTCGCTCTGTTGCCCAGACTGGAGTGCAGTGGCGCAACCTTGGCTCACTGCAACCTCTGCCTCCCAGGTTCAAGTGATTCTCCCGCCTCGGCTACCTGAGTAGCTGGGACTACAGTTGTGAGCCACCGCACCCAACTATTAAGCCTTTCTCTTTTAAGGAACTTACTGTTGGCTTAGAAAAAAAAAATACCAGTGTGACAATTTTTGGAGTATTTTACTTCCTTTCACTTAATGTGGCTACTGGTATATTTGGACTTAAATCTATCATCTTACTATTATTTTCTATTTTTCCACCATCTTTTGAATTTTTTTTTTTTTTTTTGACACAGTCTCACTCTGTCAGCTAAGCTGGAGTGCAGTGGCATATCTCGGCTCACTATAGCCTTTGCCTCCCAGGCTCAAGTGATCCTCCTGCCTCGGTCTCCTCGGTAGCTGGGACCACAGGTGCACACCACCACACCCGGCTATTTTTGTATTTTTTGTAGAGACACGGTTTTGCCACATTGCTCAGACTGGTCTTGAACCCCTTGGACCCAAGTAATCTACCCACCTTGGCCTCCCAAAGAGCTGGGCTTACACGTGTGAGCCACTGTACCCGGCCATCCTTTGATTTTTAATTTTTGTTTTGATTTCTTTCATATTAATCAACTATATTCCATTGAAAATATAATTATTTCCTCTACAAACTTGATGGTTCCACATTTTAAAACTATCCTGTTTGTGCTTAGATAGACTTGACTAGTACTTTGATTTACCTTAAATTTGTGCATTTACCTAAAATGTTCAAATCTTTCCTTAAGATAGATTCCTGATGTCAGATGCTTGAAGTCATGGCATGAACATGCTAAGTTTGGGACACATGCTCAACCTCCTTTCCAGAAAGGCTGTACCAATTTATCTATATACTTCCATCTAAAGTATATTAGGGCCTTTGTTTTACTGAGCCCGTGCTATCACTGGATAATTCTCATTGCTTTAAACATCTTTGTTTACTTGGTAAGTGGGAAAAAAAGTAATTTACAGTTCTTTAAGGTTGACTTTTATCGTACATTTATCAATCCAATAACTGACTGCTTCTATGAAGAGCTTATTCACAACCTTAGGCCCTTTTCCTACTGGGATATTAGTTTTTCTTACCAGTTTGTAAGAATTCATTAAAAATTAGAAATAGTAATTCTTTTCCAATTGTTGAAAACTGTTTTACCCTGTTTTTCACCCTTCCTTTGCAATGATTTTTCTCACTAACCTCTGGACGAGAGGAAGAAAAAGAAAAAGAAAAAATGATCCTGGCTACAACTCAAGCTGCAAGAACAGAGAGTGAGTCAAGAATTTTGCCTCTCATAAAACTATTATGTGTCTGTAAGAACTGATCATATAACACTTTTCCTAAAAGATTATCAGTTAAAAATAGAGAACATACTTTATGACTTTTTAAGAGAGCTCCCTCTGTTACTAGTTTGTGTAAGTACTCAATGATCATCTTTTTAATTGTAAAGGTTAATATTAGCATGATATTCTCTACAGAAAATGTTTTAGGATAGACTGTAATCCTTTGGCCTCAAAACTGTTAGCTTGGAGTAAGGAATGAGGAGAATCCATGTAAAATATGTTCACAAAACTTTCTGAACAGTGAAAAAAACAAAACCAAACCACAGCTGTCTAGTACTTTGGCCACCAGGAAGGAAAGCTGAAAGAATGAGAGAATATAGTTTGCTCCAGGCAAAATTCTGTCATGGGGTGGTTGAGGGTGACCAATATAGCTCCTTATACATCTCCAGAACAGGCATAGGCAGAGGGACAGCAAGTTTAACTTGATTCAGAAGAAAACCCTATGATTCCACGTGGAGAAAGGGGAACCTTCATACACTATTGGGAGGAATGTAAATTAGTACAGTCACTATGCAGGAGTACAGAGATTCCTCAAAAAATTAAAAATAGAACTACCGCATGATCCGGCAATTCTATTACCAGGTATATATCCAAAATAAAAGAAATCAATCTATCCAAGAAATATCTGCACCGCCATGTTTATTGCAGCACTATTCACAAATAGCCAGAATATGAAATGAACCTAAGTACCCATCGATGAAGAAATGGATAAAGAAAGTATGGTGCGTATATGTAATGGAATATCATGCAGCCATAAAAAAAATGAAGTCGTCATTTGCAGCAACATGGATGGAACTGGAGGCCATTATGTTAAATGAAGTAAGTCAGGCACAGAAAGACAAATATCACATATCCTAATGCATATGTGGGAGCTAAAAAAAGGGGATTTCATGAAGATAGAGAGTAGACTGGTGGTTACCAGAGGCCTGAAAGGGGAAGCAGGTGAGGGGAATGAGGGAGAAAAAAATATATATTTATTACCAATGAACTGTACACTTAAGATTGGTAAAGATAGTAAATTATATAGGCATATTTTACCTCAATTAAAAAGAAGAAAAATCTATCATTCCCGTGTCTTCAGTTTTATTATTTTTATTTTAGAAATACACGTATTTTTGAGACAGGGTCTCACTCTGTCACCCAGGCTGGAGTAGAGTGGTGCGACCTGGGTTCACTGCAGACTCAGCTTCCTGGGCAAAGTGATCCTCCCACCTTAGCCTCCAAAGTAGCTGTGACTACAGGCATGCACCACCACACCTGGCTAATTTTTGTATTTTTTTGGGTAGAGATGGAATCTCCCTGTGTTGCCCAGGCTGGTCTCAAACTCCTGAGCTCAAGTGATCTGCCTGCCTCGGCATTCCAAAGTGCTGGCATTACAGGTGTGAGCCTCCAAGTCTGGCCCCAATGTTTTCAGTTTTAAATATAAAACTGGAAAAAGGTTTTCACTTATTTAAATAGTTGAACAGAAATCAGAAACCTACAAAGGCAGGCTTAAAGTACAGCAATATATTTAAACACATTTTAAGACTGCCTTCACAGATACAGTAAAGCTCTTTTTTTAAATTTTTGTTTCACAGAACCATCAAGTTCAACATAGTGAAGTTCTTTGGGTTTGAAAAAGAAAATGAACATAAGCATACAATATTTGACAAGCAAATCTACTTACCATCATACTGCAAAAATCCATTTTTATCTGTCTCTATCTCAGACTCTGGCTGGAAAAATAATAAAGTACCCATCAAAATAGTGTGTAGGAAAGAAATAATACAATTATAGACTAAAGAGGAGATAAGTTTTTAATAAATGCTTTGGATGAGCAATTAAAGATCAGCACTGATAGACAGTGCCATCTAGTGGATAAGTGGCACCATTGCACTGAGCCTAATTTCAGTACAAAAGGTACATCACTCGCCAAAGACTTCTTGGATGTAATTCAATTAACTTGGTGGTTAAACCGTTTTGTATTAAATAAATAATTTAAGAAGTTTTATAGATACCTTGAAAAAATCATCCTGAGATATGACACTGCAATTTGGGAGGTGTTTCTGCAAATTCTTAGCCAGTGTTGTTTTCCCACCATTTGTCACACTGAAGCAAAGAAAAGTACCAAGAAGGAAAAACCATTAAAAATCATTAAACACTTTTTTTGCTTTTTTGAGAGACGGGGTCTCGCTGTGTCACCAAGGCTGAAGTGCAGCGGTGCGATCTTGGCTCACTGTAACCTCTGATTCCTGGGTTCAAGTGATTCTCCTGCCTCAGCCTCCTGAGCAGCTGGGATTACAGATGCCACAACCATACCCGGCTAATTTTTGTATTTTTAGTAGAGATGGGGTTTCGCCATGTTAGACAGGCTGGTCTGGAACTCCTGACCTCAGGTGATCCACCCGCCTGGGCCTCCCGAAGTGCTGGGATTACAGGCATGAGCCACAGGGCCTGGCCAAAAAATCATTAAACACTTTAAAATATTTTTAAAGAGGATATTTAAAGCAATATTTAATATTTAAGAAAAAAAGATTTCTTTCATAGATAGTGCCTTAAACCACAGGCACCAGCGGATCTGATGTACTAAACGATAAGAAATAAGCTGGGAAAGATGAAGGAGAAAGGTAACTGCCGAGTAAGTGAACTGAGTAACACTAACACTTAAAAACACAGACACTGTGTTGGAAGCGAAATGTTTTTTTGCCTATGTCAAAATATTCACATGGTTCATATGCAACACAGAGAATATGAGTAGCACGTTTTAGTGCAAGTGTATAAAACTACATATGGTCACTGTGATTTTACTTCAAGGCACAGCGGAAAAAACAGGAGTGGCTTAGTACAAGCCCACCTACCATGAAGTCACATTTCCTCTGTGGTGCCTCCTTTTCCCCATCTCTCTCCACCTGGGGGCCAGCTGGGAGGTCCGCTGTAGCTTATCCCATCAGGCCAGTTATTTGTCCCTTCTGGCCGGACCGTGAAGTCCAGGAGAAGGGGCACTGAGTCACTCCTCTTTAGATCTAGTTTCCCAGCGTCTAGGAGATCACATGGGAGGGAGGCACTTCCCTACTCAGTCGTTTATTGAAAGAGTGTTTTAACCTGGGACTCATGTCTGTAAATATAAGTCAGGGCATTTGTGAACTTGAACGAGAAAAAAATTATACCTTTAATTTCACTGAATTCTAACAGAAATTTAGCATCTCCTTTAATTATAAATATAAGTGATATAAGTACCCCTGACATTCACCAAGAGAAATCACAGATATTTTCATATTATGTTGCAGTTGGGTTGGATATCTTGAAGTATCATCAATGTTCATTATTACTTCTGATTTGTGGCATTGTTTAGACCCACCTCTGGGTATTGTTATTTAATATATTGACATAGAAGATTATATATCACAATATCACAAATTTGTTTTTAAAAATAATTTTATAACTATATTTCAATATAACCAATTTCCTTTGTATTCCTGTATTTTATTTTGTACACTTAAAACTATTACTCTGAGGTCAAGATTTCACCATACCACCAAATGTTCACAGCACAAAAAAACTCCTGACTACACATCTATTTGTAAGAAACGCTGCTTAATCCCAGATGAGATCAATCCACAAATACTTATAATCTAGAAAAGGGAAAATGAACTAACATCCATTCATCAAAATGGCCTGCATATAACTCTACTATTACATTATACCTCAAGGTAGAAGGAACCTGATTCACAAGATTTCTCATTTAACCTTACGATACACGATTGGGTAGGATATGGGCCATCTCTTTGAAAATAAGGAAAAGGGAGTGGGTGCTACCCTATGTATCGAGAAAATATTACAACTTTTCCCCCTCTTTAACAAAAATGTCTGTAAACTATACCAAGTGTCCATAGTTTAGGTATTAAGTTTTGGTTTAAATGAGATAGTGAACGGGAGTGACTTTATTACAATATGAACAATCTGGCTAGAAAAAAATCTGTCATTTTCTTTTTTTTTTTTTTTTTTTGAGACGGAGTCTCGCTCTGTAGCCCAGGCTGGAGTGCAGTGGCCGGATCTCAGCTCACTGCAAGCTCCGCCTCCCGGGTTCACGCCATTCTCAGGCCTCAGCCTCCCGAGTAGCTGGGACTACAGGCGCCCGCCACCTCGCCCGGCTAGTTTTTTGTATTTCTTAGTAGAGACGGGGTTTCACTGTGTTATCCAGGATGGTCTCGATCTCCTGACCTCGTGATCCACCCGTCTCGGCCTCCCAAAGTGCTGAGATTACAGGCTTGAGCCACCGCGCCCGGCCAAAATCTGTCATTTTCTAGACTTATCTCTGTTAAGATCATGCAGTCAAACCAACAGTAGTAATTAGATCCTTTCTCACTGACTTAGCTAAAGCCAATGAGAAATACACACCCCATTTTTGCACAAGCCTTGGAGCCAGACCGGCTAGAAGATAGTCTGAGATATGGAGAGGAGAGGAGAGGAGAGAAAAAGTATTTAAACAAGCCTGCACCTAAAATCCACACTCAGATTGGGAGACATCCTGGTCAGGTGACAGCTCAGGCCACCCACAACATGGGGAAAAGGAATAGGATGGGGGAAAGGACTAGAAATGGGGGAATAGAATGGGGGAAAGGAATAGGAAGGTCACCCAAAACATGTGGGAAAGGAATAGGAACCTTCTCCTATGGCACACCCACAACCACCACGTGCAGCACACTCACAGCCTTGCTCGCATGTGCTATCCAACCTGAGAAGCGTGCCCAGCGTGCTCAGATCCTAGGAGCCTAGGAAGGAAAAAGGGTGACTACTTGGTGCCGCTCCCTTCTTTGCTCACAACACCCAAATAAATGCACAACTCCTGGCCCATTTATTTTTTTATGTGCCAGGTAACAAGAGGGCTCATTGTATTTGGACATAAAAGTGGGCTAGGGAGAAGTTAAAAGGCTGTCTGTAATTATTCAAACACATTCTGCAACAGGTAGATGTTAATATTCCAATTTTCCAGTTGAGGAAACTAAGGATTGAGAAGTTGTATAGTAATAAAACCAGTCCATGTTAAGAAATGGAGATGGGATACAAAGTCTAATGCCAGGATGGATTTTAATTTTTTTTACATTGTAGGACTCTGAGAGAATCCCACGAAGGTTATCATCTCTTTCCCTAGTGACTGAGTTTGGATGTTTGTCCTCTCCAAATGCCATATTGAAATGTGATCCCCAGCTGGGCACGGTGACTCACACCTGTATCCCAGTACTTTGGGAGGCCGAGGTGGGCAGATCACCTGAGGTCAGGAGTTCAAGACCAGCCTGGTCAACATGGTGAAACCCCGCTTCTATTAAAAATACAAAGCTTAGGCTGGGTGCTGTGGCTCGTGCCTATAATCCCAGCACTTTGGGAGGCCGAGGCAGGCGGATCATGAGGTTAGGAGATCAAGACCATCCTGGCTAACACGGTGAAACCCCGTCTCTACTAAAAAAATACAAAAAAATTAGCCGGGCGAGGTGGCGGGCGCCTGTAGTCCCAGCTACTCGGGAGGCTGAGGCAGGAGAATGGCGTGAACCCGGTAGGTGGAGCTTGCAGTGAGCCGAGATCAAGCTGCTGCACTCCGGCCGGGGCGACAGAGCGGGACTCCATTTCAAACAAACAAACAAACAAACACAAAGAACAAAAATTAGCTGGGCGTGGTGGTGCACGCCTGTAGTCCCAGCTACTTGGGAGGCTAAGGCAGGAGAATTCCTTGAACCCGGGAGGTCGAGGCTGCAGTGAGCCGAGATTGCACCACTGCACTCCAGCCTGGGCGAGCGAGACTCTGTCTGAAAAAAGAAATGTGACCCCCAAGCTGGAGGTGGGGCCTGCTGGCAGGTGTTTGGCTCATGGGGGCAGATCCCTCATGAAGGGTTTGGTGCCATCCCCATGGTAATGAGTGAGTTCTTGCTCTGTTGGTTCATGTGAGAGCTGGTTGTTTAAAAAGTCTGAGACTTCCCTCTCACTCTCTTTTTTTTTGTTTTGAGATGGGAGTCTCACTCTGTCGCCCAGTCTAGAGTGCAGTGGTGTGATCTCGGCTCACTGAAAGCTCTACCTCCCAGGTTCACGCCCTTCTTCTGCCTCAGCCTCCCGAGTAGCTGGGACTACAGGCGCCTGCCATGCCTGACTAATTTTTTGTATTTTTACTAGAGACGGGGTTTCACCGTGTTAACCAGGATGGTCTCGATCTCCTGACCTTGTGATCCACCCGCCTTGGCCTCCCAAAGTGCTGGGATTACAGGCGGGAGCCACCGCGCCCAGCCCCATCTCACTCTCTCTTGCTCCTTCTGCCATGTGACATGCTGGATCCCCTTCACCTTCCACCATGAATGTAAGCTTCCTGAGGCCCTCATCAGAAGCAGGTACCAACCATGCTTCTTGTAGAGCCTGCAGAACAGTGAGCCAAATAAACCTCTTTTTCTTTATAAATTACTCAGCTTCAGGCATTCCTTTATAGTAAGACAAATGGACTAACACACCCAGAAAAATGACTATATTTACATTTGTGTTAAATCTCCAGGAGGTTCATGGATGCCCTCTGAATTCCTTCAGAACACCTGTTATTTGCAATTGAATAATTACTGTTATTACTTCCTTATGAAGTAATAATTCGGTCGAGACTTAATGGACAATTACTTCGTAGGGAAGCAAGTGGTTAAGTTCATAAGATGCAAGGCAGGAACAAAAGTCGCCATAACTGAATCTGGCATGGGCTTCACAGGTGCAGCAGCACTAAAATGAAATCAAGGCACTTGGCCAGGAGCAGTGGCTCATCCTTGTAATCCCAGCACTTTGGGAGGCCCAGGTGGGAGGACTGTTTGAGGCCAGGAGTTCAAGACCAGCCTGGACAACATAGTAAGACCCTATCTCTTAAAAGAGAAAAAGGAGAAATCATGGCACTTGCTAAAGAAAAGATAGTGGGAAGAAGGCTTTCTTAGGAAGTTATGGATAGTACCTAGTGCACAGGACAAGACAGGAGGTAGGTTTCTAGGTACATGGCCCTGTATTGGGACATTGAGCAGAGGGAAATCTTATTTACACAAATGCCAAATGAAGGGTGGATTGGATCCTGTAGTGGACTCTGTAGTTGCCTTTCCAGGTTCTATGTCTGTTTTCTAGGTCTGGTTGGAACTGCTCCCACTCTCAATTCCAGAACAGAACCCACTGACCTAAACCAATCAATGTAATCCCACCTCTTTTACCACGGTGGCTGCGTGTATGTGGACCATGCTTGTCCAGTCAAAGGGAGACCTATGACCTAGGAGAAGAGAAGTATTTCCCCTTCTGCCCAGTGACAGGCTATGAAGAAACAAGTCACAGGGCTCCTAGCAGCTCCTTGTGACCAAAAGGATAAGTCAGTTCTAAGATGAACCCAAATGAAAGACACATAGAAGAGAGAAAAACTGTCTTTGGTGATACCACTGAGCTCCTGTATCAAATCTTTCCTGCAGCCTGCTACCCCTGAGGCTAATACATTTCCTTTATTACTTATGGATAGCCTTCATAGACCATGATATTCAGATTTAATTCTCAATAACTGGGAACCACTGAATATCATTCTTCAGGCAGATAATTAAAATGTTCTGTATGAAGCTTACACTGGTAGAGGTGTGTAGGAAAGATTAGAAGGGAAAGATGGGGATTAGGGAATGACAGCCTATATCAGGATGGTGGGAGTGAGTGCGGGAAGGAAGAGAAACACAAGAGAAGTACTGCAGAGAAAAACTGAACTTTTCTTCTGATTAGATGGGAGGCAAAGCAGAGTTCTGACATTTAGTTCACTCAATTTTACTTCTGATTGGTGACTTACTATGGTAATGTAATACCATAACACAATGATCTCCCCAAAATTACAAACAAAGTAGTCTCATATTTTATTAACTGGGTCACAAATAATGTGAATATAATTAGAGTAAAGGTGAACATAATATGGTAGCAAGACAAATAGTGTCATTTTCAGTTGATGTTGATGTTTTATTTGCACGCCTGCCTCTGGGACCACAGGTAGGATGACCATATAATTTAGAACATGTTTGAGAGAAAGAGAAGTGCATCCAGGACCACAAGTATTAGCTTGGGCAACATGGGACATAAGGCCACCCAAAACATGGGGGAAAGGAATGGAGGTGAAGGTGTTTTCTATAGCACATGTCTGAAGCTGGGCACAGCTGGAAAGAAACACTAAGCTTTCTCCTCCGTCATGATGGAGGAACACCCATATGGGGAACGATAAATCATCCTGAATGAAAGCAGTGCCCAATCAGACCTTGCCTCTGGTGTTAGCTCCACAAAATAAAAGGGGAAGTGGGTAAACGTGGTTGACGGACTCTTCTGTTTCTCTGTTTATAGAAAACTCTTCCATCTCTTGTTGGCATTTATGACGCCAGCACTCCACTGATATCCCACAGTGGTCTGCTCTTCCCCAGGACTCTGGAATCCTCACTGCTTCTCCGTCCCCTACTCCATCCACACGGAAACACCATTTGCACATCCTCAGTATCTTAAAGAGCTGTTTGTACCAAAATTACTCACCCACTGATTCCAACGATAAATGTTTTCATAATTAGCTTTGAAAACCACAGCTTCCTAATATTTCCTAAAAGTAAAAAAAAAAAAAAAAAAAAATATTCAAATGCATTTCATTTAGATGTCTAGGGAGATAAAGAATCCTAAATTAGGAACACCAGCTGAGAGGGGAGGGTGACAGTGACCTCTCAGCACAGCCCCGCATTATCCACATTCCCTGCCGTACTGGCTTCCCCTGCTACCACTGAGTGCCAACAGCCGGGACGTGCTGAGGGCCTCTCAACCAGTTGAACGTCAGGTGAGCTGCGGAGCACTCCCCCTTGAATGTCTGTTTTCCAAGCGTGGAAGAGTTGCTAGGCCACAGTGTGGTATATGAAGTTTCATTCTCTCCTTAGCCAGGTTGCCTTCCACCTGCACAATTCAGTCACCTGGGTATGACTCATTATCAGTGAGGCAGGGACCTCTGTGGGCTGGCCTCTTTCTCCCCTGATAAGACAGGAAAAAAGTTGCTACTGACCAGAGGCAAAATGAAGCTAATGCCGTTTAAAGATGAGATTTCTTCACCCAAAAGCCCAGCTCTTGGGCCTGGCTAGGTACATTTTTTTTGGAAACAGGCCAGATGGTAAATATTTGACACTGTGTGGGTCAAGAGGCAAAATCTAAATTGTTATGTATGGACTTATATAACAAGAGAAAAAATATTTTCACAAATTTTTGTGATGAAATTCAATATATAATCATAATTTTTTTTAACAGGTCTACTAATGACAAGAATGAAATTCCCTTTTATTGGGCTATCATTTCCCTTAATTGGATTTCTGTAGTGCTTTCTACATGACACTGCAAATGTTCAGGCAGAGGGCCAGGTTAAGCCACCGGCTGCTGTTTTGTGGACCTTTGGTCTAGTGGATGGAGGGCAGTTTCATACATGCCTCCCTAAGGTTCACTAAAGCAGTCCTTGGTTATTACAATGAGCCATTTTTCATCATTAAGTGAAAAGGTGAAGCGCAGCTGGAGGAACCTTAATAGTGGCTGCTGAAGGTCATCTCTGACAGTCACTGTTCTTCATTCCTATCTGCTCGGGGGGGTGGCCAGGGACCTAGGCTGTGTAGCCGGGGGCAAGTGGCTACCTGTCAAGCTGGAGGCTCCCAGCAATGCTCCAGTTCCTATGATCTGTGTCCACACTCTCCCTGGGGAGGGGTTATGCACAAAAAGCCTGGTGGGGAAAGGGCTATTGTTGCCTGACTTCTTGACCTTTCTAGAATATTCCACATTGACTACAATTGCTTAACACTGGGTCCAATTCCATTAACAAGTCTGTGTGAGACAAGAATTCAATAATGACTGTGATAAAGTAGGAGCTGGGCACGGTGGCTCGTGCCTATAATCCCGGCACTTTGGGAGGCCAAGGCAGGCGGATTGCTTGAGCTCAGGAGTTTGAGACCAGTCTGGGCAACATGGTAAAACGCTGTCTCTACCAAAAATACAAAAGATTAGCCAGGCATGGTGGTGTGCTCCTGTAGTTCCAGCTACTTCGGAGGCTGAGGTGGGAGGATTGCTTGAGCCCGCAAGGTGGGGGTAGCAGTGAGTGGAGATTGAGCTGCTACACTCCAGTCTGGGTGACAGCGAGACCCTGGCTTAAAAAATAAAATAAAATAGCAGAACAAGTTGGATATTTGAGTTTCATCCAGAGTTATGTTGTTGAATCACATCTCCATCCAAATTTACAAGATGTATCGAGGGAACGACTGCATACAATGAATATTGTAAAATACATTTTTATGTTGTAATTTTTCTGCTTTTGAATTTTACTTTACCCTATTCTTATTTTTTCGGTATGTCAGTGCAGTGATGCCAACTAGCCTTATTTTGGGAAGGGAGAGGCTGCTCTTTAATCTCACTTTTGTGGCGATAAATGTTCTTTCTCTTACAAAATTATGTTGTCAAAAATTGTTCGCAGAGTGATATCCTCACTTGACCAAATAAAAATTCATAAAACTTTGTCATTCCTTGCCCCCATTTCACTTATTTTTGGATAGCTCACTGAAGCATAAATTCTCAAACTTGGAGAAGTACAGCTTTAGAGATTACTTGGTCTACCTCTTCATTTTGCAGAAGTGGAAACTGGCTCAGACAATAGAGCGATTTGCCTAAGGTCACACAGACAGTAAGTAGAAAAGCCAGATATGAAACTAAACCAGTTGAGTTGACTTCTTTCCATCACTCCAAGCTGCTAAAAAGCACTTTATTACTAACAGCAAAGAAAGGGTGTTACATATGTGCTAGCTTAATTGTCAGGCTCTGATGGATAATTGATGTCATTCTTACTGATGTGTTATTGATGGGGCACTATTTGCTGTGCACACAGAATGGAAAGGACTACTGTTCCCCGTCCTAATTGCCACATCTGTGCTTACACGTGTGACTGTTGCATCAATTACATGGCATGTAAATAACAAGTGAGCATGGTTGTGGCATGGGAAATAGGCTTGAGGGGGTTACTTGCATTCAGGAACCAGGAGTGAGATGGCATAAAAAACTCACTTATAAAATCTCTTGGATACAGTGAAATGTAAGTTTTGTTTTTGTTTTTTAACTGAAACAGGAACTCCCAGTTCTACATTAGTTAGCAGTCTGGGCCTGTCCAAGCCAGTGTTTGGGTGAATGCTGGGCATACCCTATCAGCAACGAGCAGGTAACAATGTGACCGGCAGGGTGGGCAACTGGAACATGCAGAGACAAGAGAGGCAACAGGGCTAAGTGACTAGGGTGGGTGGGGGTGGGCCTAGCAATCCCTGAAGTCATTTATTTCAAAAACACTGTGCATGCACAGGGCAGCTTTAGGGGAGCTCCAGGTTCAGGCCTGGCACTGTCCACCTCCACATCATATTCTACTGTTTCATTGCCTGTTGCCCTCTATAAGAACTATTAAAAATCACCAAGGTGGCCGGGTGCGGTGGCTGACGCCTGTAATCCCAGCACTTTGGGAGGCCGAAGCGGGCGGATCACGAGGTCAGGAGATCGAGGCCATCCTGGCTAACACAGTGAAACCCCGTCTCTACTAAAAATGCAAAAAAGGTAGCTGGGCGTGGCGTCGGGCGCCTGTAGTCCCAGCTACTCGGGAGACTGAGGCAACAGAATGGCGTGAACCCGGGAAGCGGAGCTTGCAGCGAACTGAGATCGCACCACTGCACTCCAGCCTGGGTGACTGAGCCAGACTCCGTCTCAAAAAAAAAAAAAAAATCACCAAGGCTACAGTGAGCCATGACTGCGCCCGCCACTGCATATCGCCCGCCTTGGCGATAGAGCGAGACCCTCTCTTGAAAAAAAACCAAAGCAAACAGACAAAAAACAACCCCAAAACTGCCTCCCAAGAAACCAAAAACAAAACAAAACATCAAATTTAAAAAGCTTGCAATTATGATTTGCCAGGCTTCATGAAGCAAATGCAAGCTTCGTACAAACTGTCAATCATGTGATGTGTCCAAAGAGTCATCATTTCAGGGCACGTCTATCACTAGAATCCACACCACCTTCAATCTCATGGAATATCTGTGTAGTTTATTTTCCCGGTGTGTGCAAAGCTTTCCTCAACAACAGAGAGCTTTTGCATAGCGGGAGAACAAACTAGGATAGCCAAGAGCAAATCTAAAATGACTAATTTTTATTTTTTACACTTTTTTTTAATCCTAAGTAAAATGTTGTTGGGTTTTTTTTTTTTAATTCAGATGTGTTTATTATGTTTAATTCATTTCACTACTAAACATTTACATTTTGGATTCTAAACAGTACAACGGTCAGAAGTGGCATGTGCAGAATCAGCAGATTGTACGAAGAGGGCAGCTCTCTGATGCAAATGATCTGAAAGACAAGGTTCCTGCTAAATGTGCTCTTCAAATGTATCTACAGGACAGCCTGATATTTTAAAAAGAGGAAAATGTTTCCAGGACTTCTCACTCTGTATTCTATTCAACGGCTATTTTGATTCTCTTCTTCCAGGAGATAGGGCAGTCTTTTCCTACTATTGTTTAAACTTTGCTCCCTTTTGGTAAACAAATCCCTCAAGGCTGGGTTTTTTTTCCTAAGACAGTCTCGCTCTGTCACCAGGCTGGAGTGCAGTGGTGTAATCCCGGGTCACTGCAACCTCCGCCTCCCGGGTTCAAGTGATTCTTCTGCCTCAGCCTCCCGAGTAGCTGGGACTACAGGCGCCTGCCACCACGCCCGGCTAATTTTTGAATTTTTAGTAGAGATCAGGTTTCACCATGTTGGCCAGGATGGTCTCCATCTCTTGACCTCGTGATCCACCCGCCTTGGCCTCCCACAGTGCTGGGATTACAGGCGTGAAGGGCTGGGGTTTTTGAAAACGCAATTCATGCCCCTCCCCTGTTGGTTTCATTTATGTAGGTTCTTGTGTAAATAGTTTTTTCCTTCCCCAAATACACAATTAATTTACAATATTGACTGTTATTTTGAACTTATGCCATTGGCTTCCTTGTGTGCTCCAGTTCTTTCCTCCCACCGAAGATAATACCCGCTAGATCAGGGGTCGGCAAACTTTTTCTGTCAAGTGCCAGATAGGAAATGCTTTGGGCTTTGCCAGCTGCTACTCAACCCTGCTGGGTAATGCGAAAGCGGCCACAGACAACACAGATGCAAATGAGCGTGACTGTGTTCCAGTAAAATTTTACGGACACTGAAATCGGAATTTCATGTAATTTTCACGGACACTGAAATCGGAATTTCATGTAATTTTCACGTGTCACAAAGTATTATATTTCTTTTGATTTCTTTTCAGCCATTAAAAACGTAAAAAAAAAAAAATTCTTAGCAGGCCATACAATAACAGGCAACAGGCGGGCAGTAGGTCATCACCCCAACGCTAGAGCAATGAGACCATCTCGACCCGCGAGGATCGAGTACTGAATCCTGTCCCTGGCGACTTCTCCCAGCTGCGCGGTCTCTTGGAGGCAGAGTTCCCATTTTCAGGATTATGCCAGGGCGCTAGAGCAGGAGTCCACGTGCTCCTCGGCAGGCCACCTATCAGTTCTCTGAGGGTGGCAAGAGTCCAGGCAAGGCTTTCAAGGTGTAACCAAGTCCCGAGCTCCAGCACAAAAACCCTCTGGAAACACCTCCAGGCCCCACCAAGGCGGCGCGGCGCGGCGCGGCGCGGCAGGGGCGAGCAGGTAAGCACTCACCTGGCGCCAGTTCGAGTCCTCCCAAACACAGCGGCAAGGGCGACAGCCAGGCGCGCGCCTGTCCCCAGTGCGCCGCTACCCGCAGCTCGCTCCCCGAGAGGCCCACGACCTCTTTCTCCACGATCCTCCTGGATTAGAGGGATGCCAGGTAGCGGTGGCCACCTGAAGCCCCTTTCCACTCAGCTCTGCCCCGGGTTCCAGCCCCCGTTGGGGCGGGGCGGGGCTACGGCGAGCGTGGCCTCTCCCGCGCGCCCCTGGCCAGCTCCGGCTCTTCCCTATTGGGAGCGCGCGCGGCCCGCGGCACTGGCGCGCGCCCGCTTCGCCCTCGCTCGGCTCCGGCCCGTTCCGCCGCCGTGCGCGCCGCCCGCGCTCCCACTGCGGCGAAGCTGCCAGCCCGGGAGCCAATAAGCGTTCGGCCAGGCAGGGTCCACTTCCTCGTCGGCCCGGCTGGCGCTTAGGACGGCTCCGGCGGCCGTGGGGCGGGGCGGGGCACACGGCGGAGCAGCTCTGCCTGCGTCCGTTCTTTGCGCAGCCAAGGGTGGGCGCCGGTCCTGGGAGGCGCACCGTTGTAAGCCAGACAAAAAGAAACTGGGGTGCCTGAGTGCCAGGTGGCGGGCAAGCGGTGGGCTTTTCGGCGGGGTCTTTAGGATTTGCAGCGCCAGGAAGCGAGATGTCGAAGCCGCCACCCAAACCAGTCAAACCAGGTGAGGGACGTAAGGGAGGCGCTCGTCGGGTCCTCCGGCCGCCGCGGTGCCGGCCCCTCCTCTGCCGCTTGGCAGGGAGGACCCGGCGCGCACCCGGCCCCGAGCCTGGCTTACGAGATCTGCCCCACTGGGATGGGAGCTCTTTTGCGTTCGCTGTTACCGGGGAGGGATCGATTTTGATAGCGAGAGGATTTCGAGGGTTAAAAAAAATATATATATATATATATTTTTAAAGGGGAGTCGACCTCACTTTTGCTACGTTGTCATTCGCTGAAACTTTCAGAGGGTGTGATGGCAACGTCCCATGGAAGTTTTCCGGAAAGACAGGGCCATTGATCTCCCTTTAAAAAATGTCTTGAAATGGTCTTTAGCCACTTCCTCTTTTCTCAGTGTTTGTCACTGTCAAGTTAGGGTTCCTGACCGGCCAGAGCGAACGGGAAGTGCAATGCTTGCAGGGTGGGGTGGGCGAGCGAGCCTCCTTCGGGACTTAGGCTAGGAGCAGCGTTTGAAATTGACCTCGGGATCGTGGAAAGAGCGTTTAGAAGACCCCGTGCTCGCGCTCCTGGTGGAAAGAATCTAGGATGCGAAAGTAATCTCAGCTGTTGCTATTCGGAAGTGTCATTTTATCATCTCCTTTGCCTTCGCTCTCCCAAAGACGTTGGCGTGGTAAACCTGAGAGGACTGAGATTACTACATTCCTCAAAGCAGTTTTCTTGGCGGATTGTCCTTGTTCATTTTTGCTCTGTTCTTAGACTATTTTTTGTGATACGCAGAAATAAGAGAATTATGAAAGAAACTGACGTATTTTAATTAAATATTGTAACCTACTCTTCCGCGCGTTCATTTGGGTAGGTACTTAGAAAGGACTGACGTATTTCAATACTTTAACAACTCTTAGGTGCTTTCATTTGGGTAGGTAATTAAGGGAAATACGGGAAATGGAAGATAAATGACTCCAATGTATTCTTGGTTATTTTCACTCCCATCTTGTGTAATTTCGGTATAGCGAAATGCTGAAATTTAATCCATTTACATCAAATTTTGAAGTAACTTTCGTTGCAGGAGATAAGAGTTTCAGTGATTAATTTTTTCCTTGATTTTCCTAAACGCTACAGCTTTCATACTTGTCTGGTTTTCTTCCTTTGCGTTCCTGCAGTTGGAGTATGAAGTCCCTTTATTTGATAATCATGTACATACGTATGTGGAATAGTCCTTCACTGAGGACTGACATCTCGGTGGGCTGAGTGTGAAGGAAGTTGCTGAGACTGGCTCTTCCCTGAGTAAAGATGGGGCACATCTAGAGTTGGGCTCTGCATTGCATTAGATGTGGAATCTGATGAGAAATTTCCATTTTAAGTGCATGTGTATGAGGTAGCTTTCTAAACCCAGGTGCAAATCAGGACCTCAAGTATCTAACAATGCAGAGTTGTTCTTTGATAGCTAAACAATATATTTTTTTTCTGACCACCTGCGGCCTATTGAAATACATTATTTTAAAGAATGCCCTGAGAAAAAGTTCATGAGTTTTTTTTTTTTCTTTTTTAAAAATCTCTTCAGGCATATTAAATGTCTGTATTGAAAATGACAGGTGTGTGTATGTGCACACAGTAGTGTATACTTGTGCATTCATTCACACTTGGGGGTTGAGGGATCATCCTGTTACTAATTGTGGATACATTCCCAGGAACCTGCTTTCTCCTTCACATCAGAAAGCTTGTGGTTAAACGTGACTGGTGTTTAGAGGGAATTTTGCATTTTATTTTATTTTATTTTGTTTTATCTGGTCCTTGATTCAGGATACAGGGAATTTTGAATGAACATTAATTTGTAAATGAGATCCAGACACAAAGTTACCATAGAAATGGGTTTGTCAGTTTAGTAATTTACAGTCAGAAACATTACTGCCAATCAGACTTGATAATGTGGGTGGGCTACCTTAGTAGAAAAAAAAGCAATGACCAGGACCAGTGGGTCGTGCCTGTAATCCTAGCACTTTGTGAGGCTGAGGTGGGAAGAGTGCTTGAAGCTAGGAATTTGAGACTAGCCTGGGCAGCATAGCAAGACCCCGTCTCAACAGAATACAAAAAACAAAAACAGAAATGTCCTATTGTAGTACTGTCCCACATTTACTGTGTATTAGGCAATGGCCTAGTCACTTTTACATGTGTTAACGCATTTGCTGTTCTCAACAATCTTATGAGGTCAGTACCATTATATTGTTCCTGTTGCACAGATGGGGAAATAAAGATGCGCAGGAATGTTATTTAATTTGTCTAAAGTCAACAGTTAGAGTGGGGGATGTAGCAGGCAGGATTAAAACCCAGGTAGTCTGGCTTTGAAGTATGCACTCTTTTTTTTTTTTTTTTTTTTCCTGAGATGAAGTCTCCTCTCTCACCCAGGCTGGAGTGCAATGGCACAATCTCGACTCACTGCAACCTCCGCCTCCCGGGTTCAAGCAGTTCTCTGCCTCAGCCTCCCAAGTAGCTGGGATTACAGGCGCCCGCCACCAAGCCTGGCTAGTTTTTTGTATTTTTAGTAGAGATGGGGGTTCACCATCTTGGCCAGGCTGGTCTTGAACTCCTGACCTTGTGACCCACCCGCCTTGGCCTCCCAAAGTGGTGGGATCACAGTGGCGTGAGCTACCGCCCCCAGCCGAAGTCTACACTCTTAACCATTTGCAATTCTGCCTTGAGTCATAGTGCTCCATTCACATTGGTGGTCATGTGTATTTTAGAGCTGGTGGTCAGGAAGTCGAAAGGGAGGGGCCTCTGGTCTACAGACCTTCTTGTCACAGATGCACATAAAGGTCACCCCCTGGCTGGTACAGCAAGGAGAGTGGTGTGGAGCTTTACTTTCTTGTCCTGCAGGCAAGCTACATGGATACAAATCTCCAAAGACAGCATGGGATTGGGGACTTTGGGGTTGTATTTAATTTTTTGGTTTGTTTATATCCTACCTCTTTCCAAAGGACTTCTAAAAATACACATGATCTGAGAGAGAGGAAAAAAAGATAAAGCAAGGTCATTTTAGAGGGAGGGAAGAATGATAAGATGAAACAAGAGGAAAAGCTAGCTTACAGACAGACCTGCGTGTAGTAAGGTCACTGTAGATTTGGCTCTCAGCTGCAAGCCGAGAGAAAAATCTCAAGATTCACAGTGCTCATAACATTAAAATGTGTCACTTGCTCTGAAAAGTAGTTATTTTAATGGCATTGAGATCTGAGACAGATTTTCCTGTGGGTTCTCTTAAAGTGTTGGAGTGGCCTGGATATCTCTAGCAGAAATACAAGACAGCACATCCTAGCTGTGTTTCTTATAGCTTCTTTCAGAGCAAGATGTGGGTAAAACAGCATGGCTCAATTCAGTAGACAATACTAAAAGGAAAGGAGCTAGATGAGTAAGGACAAAGGACTCGCTGGAAGATATTAAAAGCGAGGGACATTAAGCTATAATGCAGACTAATTGCATCTTTCCGGCTGATCAGCACATGCCCAACAGGGGCACCGTTGGTGGAAGGAGGCTGAGAAGTCCTGGGCAGATACCAGTGGGAGACCCTGGCCATATTTGTACTATCTGGAGGATAGATCAGGGTTACCTTCTTGGGTTTTTGGCCATATCCAGAATTCATTTGCTAAACATTTCTTAATACATGTAGCTCATATTTTAGGCCCTGTGCTAGACACTGGGGTTCTAAGGAGCAGTAACCTAAGGTGTCATTCACGAGGGTCCTGAGTCTAATGGGGAAGACATATGTATCTATAGATATTACCTAGAGTATCCCATATCTACAACTGGATGGCTGATCTCATTCATTTTGTCAAAAAAAAAAAAAAAGCTTGTAATTAAAAATATAAGTAATTTTTTTATTTTTAGAAAATTTGGGAAAAGGTAAACAATAAATATATAACTAAAATCTAGAAATCATCCCTGTCATCTACCGATAATCGTTATTTACATTTGGTTGAATATTGTTTCAGGTTTCTTTCTTCTTCACATCCATTTCATTTCAAAAAAAGAAAATAAAAACAATTATCCTTAGAACAGTGTCTCAGCTTCCATTTGAAATGTCTTGCTGTTGGTTGGTATATGTTTCCAAAAGGCTGTATGGTATTGCCCGCATTTTGCTTGAAAAATCAGTTCTGTCGCATCTTGATCTTTCCTTGCTTACTGATTTTGTTTCTGTAGAATCACTTTTGGCCACACAAGGTCTGTCATTGAAACTTTCTTAACTGTTATCTGTGTCACCGTGGTACTCTACTAAGATGTGTTTCAATTTCGTGGTCTTTAGCTCATTCTTTATCGTTCTTTCCTTCCTTTTCTTTTCTTTTCTTTTCTTTTCGAGATGGGATTTTGCTGTGTTGCCCGGCTGATCTTGATCTCCTGTGCTCAAGCAGTCTTCCTGCCTGAGCTTCCAGAGTATCTGGAATTATCGGTGCTCACCACCAAACCTGGCTGGGACCCTCCTTTCCTTTTTCTGAATAAGTACGACCTCTTATTTTACACATACAGCATTTATGTTGTTTTCAG